GCCATTGGCTGAGCCGCGGAAGGCGACGCAAAGGCCTGGCCGCAGCCGCGGGCTCGGCGCGTCTCGAGCACCCGGCGTCGAGGAGGAACACGTCAGGGGGGGGGGCTGGGAGGTAGGATCAGGTATGTGTGCTAGGGAGGGGGTTCGGACGAGTACTGAGGTGGGTGGGCGAGCGAGAGGAGACCGAGAGAGAAAGAGAGAGGGAGATGAATAATATGTGTAGCGAGCCAAGAGAGAATTTCGTACAAAATCACAGTTACAAAAATTGAATAGTCTACTTCCTACGTCCCCTAGTTTTTACATATATTTTTTTTTTTAGTGTAAGAAGAACTTTAAGTCAACTTATTTAGTTCACAGGCCTCTTAATTACTGTTTCGAACAGCAACTTTTCAGTGTACACCTCCCGATTCAATTACCATCCGGTACATTCCACGATTCCGCAAAGTTATGCTTCCCGCCCTCAACAACAAATCCTCCCACAATGCAAGTCACGAAATGACTGAAAAAAAAAACCTAGACGCAATTTAACGAAAGACTAAAAAAAGTGCATACAAAAAGGAATAAACAGCGGCAAACGGGTAAGAAAAATGAGGGGAAGGAGAGAGGGTGAAGTCATCCGATATACCGACAGAAGGAGGAGGGAAAAGAGGGGAGGGGTCCATCGCCGACTCACATGTGATTTTATGCACGTGAGAAAGAGCTAGGTAGCCTAGGCACTGCGAAAAATTATAAAACTAAGACGATAAGTGCGTCAAAATATATTTCTGTTAAACTTTGAACGGTATTTATTTTGTTAGGTTTTAATTTACGTTTGCATGGTTTGCCCCGCCGCGAACGATAGGTACTTTATACTCGACTGATTTAGCGAATGATTCGTTAGAATCCCACATGGTTGTTCAGCTCATTAAGTTTTCTAAATACCAGCAAATATTTTAGCAGTGACAACGATTTTTTCATCGTAAACTTATTGGATAAAATTGTGGCCTGCTTTCAGGTAAAAGTTGGACACAGCAGTTTCAAGTCTGAAACTGTAGTCTCTCTTATTCTGTCTCATTCCGTCCGATTGACAAATCGACGCCCCTCCCTTCCTCTCCCCTCCCCCTCCAGGCTCTCCGGCCTTTAACAAAGAGCACTTCATGTGTTATGATGCAGCAGTCGAAGTGATTTGAGTGGAAGCAATATCGCACCCCGCAAAGAAAAAGAAAAGAACATACTGATACATTAAGTGTGCACCTGGTGTGCACATGAAGTACATTGCACACTTTTAAATGTTTGACTGGATATTCGAATAATGAAATGTGTTTCACGGTTAAGTTAAACACTACAAAAATAAAATAAATTGAAACCGAAAATTGGAAATTGTTCAGATTCAGTTTCTTTCTTTCAGTTTTGGACCCTTGAATGTGTCTGTTGAACACTTTTACTTAGTCAAATTTCCGGTCCAACATCTGTAGGTGTGCACGCGATGGAGATCCTGAGCCTGCCTCGTTGCACACCTTGTGTTTTCAGGGACCTGACCGGAGAATACCCGTCAAATGCGTGACCAGTCCGTCAGGGCGGGCCACGGAGCATTTCCCTCCATAGGAGGTCGATGTCCTGGCCGCGCCAGACGCGCGCAAACAGATCCATCAGATCAGACCATCCACGGAAAATAAAATTGTAAATACAAAAAGGTGAGAAAATAAATAGAAGTACCTCCTATGAGCCCTTCGCCCTCCATCAGCCGTGCGATAAGCGGAGCAAACATGACATCAGGGCGCCGTGGGCACCAACCCCACCGGGGCCATATTTATAGTCATTTTAGTCATGTTTTGGTTTTAAAACAACTAATCCCACACAATTTTTAATTAAGACCGAATAACGAAAACAAATAAATAGGAACCAAGCAAAGAGTAAATTCATTGATTTTAGCACTGCTTGGGGAAAATCTGGGTGTACATGGCGTCGATGGCGTCTACTCAAAAGGACCAAAAAAAAAAATCTGCCCACATTCATATTTACACTGAGAAAAATATTTCTTTCCGGGCACTAAACATTCGTCTAATGCTCCCGACTTTCGTCCACCCCAAAATGAGATGGTGCCCGAACTGTGCTCTAAATTTTCTTTGCCTGGGATGCTACGTTTAGCTCCCAGCGCTAGATGTATATAGTGCAACGAAAAAGCTTCGATCTGAGCACTAAACGTATAGTGCTCAGGCAGATTTTTCTTTTCTCAGGGTAAGAATGCTCTTTAAGTATAGACACACAAACCTAAAATTATCAAGTGTTTCAAAAGGGGGGGGGGCACATGTTTGACGTCATCCACCATGCACGCACAAACGCCAGGATTTAAAAAAATGATTATTGTGAGAATGGGGAGGTGGCGGCCGCACCCCGCAGTTCTGGTTTAAGAGGGGAAGGGAGGGCGGGGGAG